TTTTTTCTGCTATTTTTTTGAAAAGTCTGTTTTCTCCTCTTCAGCACCAGGGCAATGCCTCCTTCGGCATGTCCGTCTTCAACCTGGGCAATACCATCATGGGCAGCGGCATCCTGGGTCTGTCCTTCGCCATGGCCAACACCGGCATCGCCCTGTTTGTGTAAGCATTTTTCCATCATTATCCTATTTCGGCTGAGCAGCGTTCAGACAAGTGTTTTAAGGTCTCAGGCTATGACATTCCTAAGATCAGCAAGAAATGTTTAACTATTCTGTTCATGTTGACTTGCAAACAAAGAAGAAAAATCTCACCTCTGAAGTAATGTGATGTTACCGGCAACCTGAACCTGGTTATCTAAGCTTCTGTAAAAGACCATCTGGAAAAAATGTGTTTTTCGCTAGAAGAAAGTTATTGGAGGTTGTTTTGCAAATACGCCCCCTGGTGGCTGTTCACCACCAGGGGGCGGTTTTGGGAAAATGTTTTGTGTGTTACTAAAAAGGTTTCTGTCAGCAAAAGACTGGATTTAAAAAAAAAAATCTGAATTTCTATTAGTCATTACTGTGCTTATTGCACAACTTGTATCATTTGGCACCAAAAGACCCATCAAGCATATAGTTTTTATTTATTTATTGCCAATAATCACAAGTCATCTTTAGCTGAAGACCTTTTCTCTTCCTTGTGTTTACAGGTTTCTCCTGGTTTCCTTTGCTATTTTCTCCTTGTATTCTGTCCACTTGTTGCTGAAGACAGCCGATGAAGCAGGTGAGCAGCAGCTCTGACTTTCCAGCAACTTTTCATGTTTGTTCACATTTAAATGTCAAGATTTAAAACTCTTTGGGTTTTTTCCTCTTTTTCCAGGTGCTCTTGTTTACGAGTCACTGGGTTACAAGGCCTTTGGGATCCCAGGCAAACTGGCTGCTTCCTGCTCCATCACCATGCAGAACATTGGAGGTGAGGGACTGACCTTTAAGTATAACAGCTATGCATTGTAACTATGATGCTTACATTCATCTACCATGTTTTTAAACTGAAA